AGAAGCTGTCCTGGATATCTAACCTCTCTCCGCGTGCTGTGGAAAGAATGCAAGACTGGGGGTTGGAGATGCAGTGCCCCTCCCCTGCTCATTGGCTGTGCCCTCCCTCTCACTGGCTTCCTTGTCTGCAAGGGAACGGCCCTGCTCTTCCACTTTGTGGGATTACTGTGTGGGTCACAGGGGATCCTGCACTTGAAGATTCCTCGGAACTGCCAAGTGATGTACAAATGCCACACAGGGCATTGCCCAGGTGAGCTGAAGAGTGAGCGGGTCGGTGAGAGCCCCCATGGCTGCCCCTCTACATGGAGTCAGTGCTCTTGGTCAGATCACTCCAACCAGCTCTCCTCATGATGGGGCGGCATCTGCCCTAGACCTAAACCCAAGCAGGGCCCAGAGGATGTTTGGGAGGGGCTTCTCCAACAAGCACTGAAGGGCTCAGGGCTGACCCAGCTCTCTGGGCTCCTTTAAGCCAATCCCATTGTTGGATCTTTGGTTTCTTCACCTTTAGAATGGACATAAGCATACTCTCTATTCAAAGCTACTCTTTTTTTTTTTTTTTTTTTTTTCTGTTGACACTATTATAGATGTCCCCCATTCCTTCCCCCTTTGACCTCCTCAAAGCTACTCTTTTAAATATATATATATATATATATATATATATATATATATATATATATATATATTTCATTTCAGAGAGGAAAGGAGAGGGAGAGAGAGATAGAAACATCAATGATGAGAGAGAATCATTGATCAGCTGCCTCCTGCACTCCCCCTACTGGGGACTGAGCCTGCAACCCGGTCATGTGCCCTGACTGGGAATTGAGCCGTGACCGCCTGACTAAAAGGTCGATGCTCAACCACTGAGCCACACCGATGGGCTCCTCGAAGCTACTCCTGACTTGTGCTCACTTACTATGTGCCAAGGTTAGGTGAGTTCTTAAATGCATTATCTCATTTAATTCTAGCTGTGAGCTCAGAACTCTTACATCTCTTTTTTACAGTTTAGAAAACCAAGATCAAAGATGTTGATGCCCCAGATTACACAGCTAGTAAGTGGTGAGGACAGGATTTGGATCCAACCTGCCTGACACTGACTATACTGTGCCTTGACAGTGGTGTGACCTTGTGTCAGTCAAAGGCCTCCCACTTGGGGCCTCAGGTGCCGCTTCTATAAAATGCAGGGCTGGACGGGTGTGGGGGCCTACACACCTGACACCTTTGCAGCTGTCTTAAGCCCCAAAAGAGCCCACATGTGTTGGGGCTTTGGACCCCACTGTCTTGAGTGCTTCCCTCCCCACAACATCTATTTTTGTAAGAAGAAATGCTGGGATCCTCACCACAGCCCTTCAGTACCTTCCTCTTCCACCCTCAGCAAAAAGCAGGCTCCAAGGGAAGGCAGATGCCCACAGGGACCTGGAGTGGTCGGTGGTGGAGAGTGAGAGCTTCCCCGATGGGCCCCGAGGCACGGGTGACAATGGCGATACTGGCCAAAAGGACCAGCCTCTGGGACTTCAGATTCCTCTGAGAGCAAAGTAGGAGAGGAACCCAGCCAAGCCTGAACCTAAAAAAATTCTCTACAAGTGACACAAAACAGTTTGCCTCACTCAATACGTAAAGAGCTTTTACAGGCCAATATGAACTATCCCAACACCATGACTGAAAAGGTAAAAAATTATTTAGTAGAAATGCCCAATATGTATTTGAGGGAAAAGTCCAATCTTGGTAGTTAATCAAAGAAATGCAAATGAAAGCAGTAAAAACTGTCTTAGCCCGGCCAGCGTTGTTCAGTGGTTGAACATCATCCTATCCTGGGTTGTGGGCTTGATCCCCAATGTGGGGCATGCAGGAGGCAGCTGATTGATGATTCTCTCATCACTGATGTTTCTATCTCTCTCTCCCTCTTCCTTACGCTCTGAAATAAAATATAAACATATATATACATACATATCTATCTATCTATCTATATATATATACATACACATATATAGATATGTATATATGACTGTCTTAAAGTATTCTTAGAGGGAAAAATTCTAACTGGAATTAGATCAAGCTTCTAGATCTAACTACTAGTTTAAAGACAATACAAGGGTGAAAAGAACATTTAAATGACACCTGGGGGATGCAACCAGCTAAAATCTGTATGTGGAAAGCTACTGGACAAACAACCCAGTTTCTTCAACGAATAAATTTTAAGAAAAAACAACAACAACCAAATAGGAGAAGAGAACGTACATATTTAAAGAAACTCATCAGCCATGTCAACCAGAAGCAATGTATGACCCTATTTGGACCAAACTGACCAAATAGAAAAACATGACATAATCAGGGACATTTGAACCCTGATTGGATATTTGATGATAGTAAGGGATTTTTGTCCATTTTTATGTTATGATAATGGTATCATACTTATGTCTATTAAAAGGTTACTTATCTTTTAGAGATACATCAGGAAATCTTTAGAAATAAAAATAACCTGGCCAGTGTGGTTCAGTGGTTGAGTTTGGATCAATGAACCAGGAGGTCACAGTTTGTTTCCCTGTCAGGGTACATGCCCGGTTGTGGGCTGAGGGGCGTGCAGGAGGCAGCCAATCAATGATTCTCATCATTGATGTTTCTGTCTCCCTCTCCCTTCCTCTATGAAATCAATTATATATATATATATATGATATCTGGAATTTTCTTCAAAATAGTTTGTGAGAGGAGAGAAAGGATGGGGATAATAGAGGAAACAAGGCTGGCCATGAACTGATACTTGTTGAAGCGGGGTGATAGGTACATGGGGTTAATCATACTATTCTGTTTTACAGGCATACCTTGATTTATTTCACTTCGAAGATATTGCGTTTCTTACAGGTTGAAGGCAAGAGCCCCCACCAGCAAAAAGATTATGACTCACTGACAGCTTGGATAATGGTTAGCATTTTTTTTAGCAATAAAATATTTTTAAATTATTGGGGTTTTAGACATAATGCTATTGTACATTTAATAGACTAAGACATAGTATAAATATAATTTTTATATATATTAGGAAACCAAAAAAAATTATGTGACTCACTCTTTTACAATAGTCACTGTACTGTGGTGGTCTGGAACCCAGCCCACAATCTCTGAGGTAAGCCTTTATATCCAACGATTCCACAATTAAAAGTTAAGAAAAACAATGGTACATTGTCTGAAGTTTGAAAGGTTATACACAAAAATGTGTGACCTCAGTGTGAAATTGCATTTATACTTTCCTCCTTTCTATTTTTATTTTTTAATATTTTTTCTTTATTTTATTATTTTATTTTATTTTATTTTATTTTATTTTATTTTATTTTATTTTATTTTATTTTATTTTATTTTATTCTTTTTCATTACTATCCTTTTTTCTTACTTAATCTGTAGCAATGAGCATGCATAACCAGGAAGAAAATAATGTTTTTGCAGTGGTTTTACGTTAAAGGGTCTATGCCAGTTGTGGCTAAAGGGGCCACGGAACGTCAGCCATTAGTGGGCAGGTGGCCAACTCCTCCTTCTGGGAACACAGGCCCTGCTTTATCTCCTCGGCTCCAGGGGGGGGTGGGGGGCAGAAGGACTGTGCTGAGCCACGCCTTACACAGCCTGTGAGGTCCTCCCAACAGGTGAAGAAACGGAGGCTCAGAGGGAGCAGTGGGGCTGCCGAGGGGAGGGAGAAGGAGCCAATGTGTGTTGATACCTCTGGCACTTCCTCTTTCCTCCAATTCCCGCAGGCAACTCTGTGGGGTGGGTGCCTTTCTCCCCACCAGCCTCAGAGGGTGGAGTGACTTACCCAGGGCTACTCAGCCAGGGCTGCCCAGGTTCAGGACTGTCCCGATCCTTCCCCCGGGGTGTACCCCCACAGCTCGCTGTACCCCGAGGGGGCCTGGGGCTGGGCCTTCCATCCTGGTGCAGGGCACTTGGTCTGGGTGACTCAACACTCACTGACTCCAGGTTGATGGGGGAGCAGCCTGGCCTGGGGCAGGAGGCCTGGGTGCTTCTTGAGGGCTCTGCCTTGGCACCTTGGTGAGACCTGAGCCTTCCCCTCACCTGGACAACTGGGATGGGCACCAGCTGCCCTGGCCGAGGCCTTCATGAGACGTAGGAAAATGGGAATGTGGCTGGTAAACTGCAACATACAGTACAATAGGCAGAGCGTCTGTGTGTACAAAAATAAATGCACTTGCAGCCACCTGACCTGAGCCTCACCTGAGAAGGGCAGAGGGAACAGCGCAAGACAAAGCACCCAGCCAGCAGAGCACCCACACGCTTCTCCCTCCCGCACCCTCCCCAGGCTCTCAGGGACCTCTCCTGCAGCCTGGGGACTGGCTGCCTCACCCCAGCTACCAGCCCCCTCAGGCCACCTGACAGGTGAAGCAGGGGCCTTCCTCCTGGGCCCTCCTGCCCCGCCCTGCCTGGCTGGTCCTGGGCGTGTTGAAGCTGGGTCTCCAAGGCCCAGGGAGCCAGGCCAGGAGCCTCTGTTGACCCTGGGGCGGGGGGATGAGGGGGGCTCCCCACCTGCAGGCTGGCCTCCCACCCTGTGACCCCTGTCGCCTCCCCTCTCTCCTTCAGACCTGGGGTTTCCCCACAATCTCTCTCCCCTTTGGTCTCAAATCTTCCTCTTTTCCTCTAGATTCCTCCCCACCCACTTCTCTTGCCATGTTAGCTCCTCTATTTCTTTCCCTCTTGTTCCATTTGCCTCTCAAACTCCTTTTTCTTTCCATCGCCGTTCATAGCTCATAGTTCACACCCACCCGTTATCTCCGTAGTCCCTGTCTCAGTCCCTACCTTTCTCTCTCTCTCCTTCCCGCTGTCCTCTCTCTAACCGTCTGCCTTTATTTCTCTGCCCTTTCCTATCGTTCTCTCTCCGTTTTCTCTCACCATCTCCCCCTCTCTCTCCATCTCTCTCTCTCCATCTGGCTGTTTCCTTGTCCCTCCCTCCTCCATCTGTCGCGCCCAGTGCGTCTCTCCGGGCCCCCGCCCGTCCGGGCCCCACTCACCGTCGGCGCCCGCGGCGCGGAGCAGGGCGAGCGCAGCCAGAGCGCACAGCAGGGGCCGCATGGTGCCGACTGCCCGCCGCCTCCCCGGGATCGCGCCGCCCGCCCGCCCGCCCGCCCGCCCGCTCGGGAGGAAATGCTCGCAGTCCCAGCCAAGATTCCTGGGCGGCTCCGGGCTTTCTGGCTCAAGCGAACCCGCCCCCTCCAGAGGCCCCTCCGCACCCGCGGGCCGCGCGGAGCCCAGAGACCCCGAGGGCGGAGGGCGGACGTGCCAGCCTGGGCGCCTGCCCGGGGAGGGGCTGCCCTCGATCCCCGTGCCTCCGGGGGCCCGGGCGCAGAGGAGAGGGAGAATGGCGGGGGGGGGGGGGGGGGGGCGGTCAGGGTGAGGGTCCGCTCAGGGCCACGCATTCGTTATGTGCCCGTTATACAGCCTGGCCGGCCAACCGAAGCGGAGAGCAGTGCCTTCATCCTCCGAGTCACCCGCAGCCCTGGCGCAGGATCTGCACGGAGTGTGGGAGCTGCTCTCTGTCCCATAGAACAAGTCATTCGCTCTCATTACATGGGACAGTGACTGGCCCTGAGGGTATCTGCCTTCTATAGAAAAGTGCTGTTCTGCTAAAGGAGTCATAGTAATAGAAGATAATTTTCAAAAAAACCCCGTAAAATCATGACAGGTGAAAAACGAGATTTTATTTAACTCATGAATGAGGGACTCAGTAAGAGGTGACAACAAGCCAAAGGACAGACACAGATCTGGAATATGGATATGAATGTGCAAATAGATAAAACTGGCTTCTTCCACACCCTGGGGAGAATTAACTGAGCCCATAACAGGAATAGTTTACATACATTTGGGCAAACATTACTTTGCATTCCTATCTATGACTGTTTACAGACTCGATAACAGCTTAAAGGAATGAAAGGCCGGAGCCCTAATAGAATCAGAATCGGTGTTCAGCTCTGTTGTTGAGCACTGATTCTGATTCAGTGGTAGGTGGACTTTGATGAAAGACTTCTCGTTCACGTATGCCTGTCCTCCAGGAGCTAACGGCCTAGTAACCACCATAATATTCATAAACAGTAGCTGAGCTTTGATCGACTAACCTCTCCATACACCCTCTCTCTGCTCTTCACTGCAAACCCATTATACCGTCCCTTCTTCAACCCAAGAAACTTAGACCCAGAAATGTTAAGAACCTTGCCAACAGTCGCCTGGCTGGTATCTCCCTGCCGACAGTCACCCAGCTGGTATCTCCTTGCCCAGTCACCCAACTGGTATCACCTTGCCACAGTCGCCTGGCTGGTATCTCCCTGCTGACAGTCGCCCAGTTGGTATCTCCTTGCCCAGTCACCCAACTGGTATCACCTTGCCACAGTCGCCTGGCTGGTATCACCTTGCCCATAGTTGCCCGGCTGGTATCTCCTTGCAGACAGCCGCCTGGCTGGTATCACCTTGCCACAGTCGCCCAGCTGGTATCACTTTGCCCATAGTTGCCTGGCTGGTATCTCCTTGCCGACAGTCACCCAGCTGGTATCTCCTTGCAGACAGTCGCCCAGCTGGTATCTCCTTGCCCACAGTCAACCGACTGGTATCTCCTTGCCCACAGTTGCCCAGCTGGTATCTCCTTGCCCACAGTCACCCGGCTGGTATCTCCTTGCAGACAGTCACCCGGCTGGTATCTCCTTGCCCACAGTCAACCGCTGGTATCTCCCAGCCCACAGTTGCCTGGCTGGTATCACCTTGCCGACATCACCCAGCTGGATTCAGGGTTTGAATCCAGTCCTGCTGTCTCTGCATGCCAGCCTTTAGACCAGCGATTTTCAACCTTTTCATCTCATGGCACAAGTAAACTAATTACTGAAATTCTGTGGCACATCAAAAATTATCCTTTTTTGCCGATCTGATAATAAATAAATAGGTATATCAAATAAAAATAAAATAGGTATAATTTTTACTCATTCACATTGGATGGCTATTGTTGTGTTGGCTGTTGACATTTTTATTTGACAATCTAAAGCAGTGGTTCTCAACCTTCCTAATGCCGTGACCCTTTAATACATTTCCTCATGTTGTGGTGACCCTCAACCATAAAATTATTTTCCTTGCTACTTCATAACTGTAATTTTGCTACTGTTATGAATCATAATGTAAATATTTGATATGCAGGATATATTTTCATTGTTACAAATTGAACATAATTAAAGCATAGTGATTAATCACAAAAACAATATGTAATTATATATGTGTTTTCCAATGGTCTTAGGCGACCCCTGTGAAAGGGTCGTTCGACTCCCAAAGGGGTCGCGACCCACAGGTTGAGAAACACTGATCTAAAGGAAAACAGGTCAGTGTCCCTGTCTGAATAGTCAGGTGTTGCATGTTTTAAAATGTGGCACACCAGTGTGTCACGGCACACGGGTTGAAAATTACTGCCTTAGATAATAATAGTCACAGCATTCCTGAGAACTAAGTTGTCTTTCTTCATGTAAGCAAGCCAGAGCAGGAGCTGGGTGGCTTTTCCAGTGAACTTCAAATCCACCTTCCTCCAGGTTAGAACACAACAGTCAAAGCCTCATTCATGGGACCCCCCCCCCCCCCCCCGGCCCCAACAAGTGCCAAACAACCCAAGTTTTAGTGAAAACAAAAGCCAAAGCTGCAGCAGCCCTGACATCTGCGCTGCAGAGCCTGGGGCGCGCAGCCTGGTGTCAGTGGAGCGCCTTCATCACCAAGCTCAGGAGATTGTATCTGTCCAGCCAGGGCCCCGTCAGGGTTAATGGGAGTCCTTGCAGACAAGGCAGGTCTCTGTCTTCTCATTCCCAATTGTAGCCGTGCAGGTCTCCAATTCAGTCACCACACTACCCAGCAGCCCTCACTGCTCACTTCCTCCCCCAGATAATAGCCTTAGGCACAGAAATTCCAGTTCTGAAGCAACAGGTCTTGGACAGAGACGTGGACCTAGTTTTTAAGATGCTCGCATGGGGATTAGGATGCCCAGATGAGCTGCTCAGAGGGGTTCCTTTCGAGAATGCCAAGAAGGCCTCACACTTGTTAGTAGGACTTTCCTGGGTAGGTTAGTCAGGTGAGAAGTTGTCAAAAGAATGGCCCAGAATCAGTGGGCTACCTACCTAATATTTGAATTTGCAATGAAACTGACACACATGCAATGCTTTCTTGTGGTGAGTCACAGAGTAGGACAGCAGACAGAGGACAATGTGAAACTCCTCCCTCGCACTAGCGCCCCTTCACAGTGATTCTAGTCCATCCCTCGGTGTGGCGGACTCTTCCCATTCCTGTGTGTGCACGCCCTATCTCCCTAATGTATATTCACACACACACAAGCATGTGCCTGGGATTGAAAAATAGATATGCTTGGAACTTGCTTTCACATTCATGTTTATCTCACTCATAGCATCAAATCTTGAAGATCATTCTATGTTAGTTCACACAAATCCACTTCATTCCTTTGAAGACTTGCAGAATATCTCATGAATGGATGCACCATTATTTGTCCAGACAATCCTCTACTGATAGACATGTGGTTTGTTTCTCTTCCCCCCTGTGCTCTAGGGAACATACTTTTGTGTATACCTTTATGTACATGTCACGTACTTATGTATTTCTGAAAAGCTAGGTCCCTGGAAGAGGAATCATGGAGTTAGAGGGCCTTTTATATTTTGCTGGATATCCCAAAAATTCTCACCAAGCCCATTGCAAGGCACTGAGAGCTACTCTTCAGGGTCCCCAATTAATTTTGTTCTGTGTGGGAGTTGTGCTGCAGGGGGCGCTATTTACATAAAAGAATTCTATAGTGGAGAGACCTAAAGTTGTAGATCTAATAGCCTTGTACATCCTCCAACACTGGATATATAGTTTTTAAAATATAGGCAATTTGATGATGAAAAACGTTACCTTGTTGTTTTTATTTATATCTATTTATTATGAGTGAAGTTGAGCTTTATTTGCCAACTCAAGTACTCCCCCTGCCTTTCTTTCACATATTCTGAGTATTAATTCAGTGTCTGTTATGTATGTTGGCAATGTTTTTTCCATCCTCCCATTGTCTTTAACTTTCTTTGTGGTGTCTTTCATCATACAGAAGATTTCGATATTTAGGTAGTCCTATCTCTCTATTTTCTTTTATGTCTTCTAGGTTTTACAACTTGTTTATAATTCCTCATACCAAGACTATAAAAATATGTTCCAATATTTTCTTCAAATAGTTTAAAAGGTTTTTTTGTGTGTTTTTTAAAAGGTATAATCTCTAGTGCATTTAGAATTTGTATTGGATGTAAGGAAAGATTCAAACTTAATTTTTTCCTTAATGGACATTTAAAATCCTAATGCTCTTTATTGCATAGTTCATCCTTTAGCCACTAATTTAAATATAAAATAAATTGTTGGTTAGCTGTTCATTCCTAAGTGGCGTTCCAGAAAATCTCTAGCCATCATGTCTATCATGAGGTCAAGGAAGCTAAAGTAGAAGCTTATCATTTTAATAAATACTGAAACTATTCTTTGATGAAATTAAACAGCCACCCCAGACTTAAAAACAAAAACTCTAAGAGACAGAAATAATGGAAATAAAGGGGTATTTCCTTAACAAGATAACTATTTTATCTTAAAAAAAGAGTTTACATGTACATGCAAGGAGGAAAGAGAGGAGGCATTCTTAGTAAGCCAGGCACAAGGTAAAATTGCCACCATCACCATATTAATTAGCCATGGTCTGACCAATGAAGCACAAACTAAAAGAAGAGGAATTCCGAAGGAGACAAAATATTGGTAATAGTGGAAGATTCTGTTGCCTTTTAGAAAATTCAGTAGAACTAAAAGAACTGAGATAATGTTGGGAAATCGTTTATTTCCTCACGCCAACGGAAAGCAGCCTAAACCCATGAAGGAACACTTCTGGGCAAGATGACAGCAAGGACTCAGTTTGCTGATGTCCTCCTTCCAACATTCTCTTGAAATGACCAATGGAAACTGGCATCAGTGCCAGCAACTTGGGAAATATGCCACCCATATGCCAGGCCTCAAAGCAAGTTGATGGCCAGCTGGGATTTATGGCAATAAGTATCATTATGTGTCACTAGTCTGTTATTTGCTAAACTTCTTAGAACCTGGTATTGCGCTAAGGC